CACAAAATCAGAAGTTATTCTCCTGCTCTTGTGTAGAAGGGGCACATTTATCAAGGGATTGCACAAATGGGGGGAGGGGGAGGGAAGCTTGTGGACAAGGCATCCTCACAACATTCCCGCCAAGAAGACTGAGGCGTAAGGCTGTGAAAACCCACCCCCCTGTCCTGCCCAGGGTGATATCCGGTAGAACAGAACTTGGCTGTATGCCCTGGGAGTGAGCACTTGGAGGGGGGTGGGCGGAGATGGCGTCCCTGAGACCACACAAAGCCTGAGAGTCTTGCCCCGGGTACCCGGACATCTGGGTTAGAACTGGTGACGGGAGACGTTGAGTGGCGCTGCTGGCCGGCAGCTGGGGACCTATGAACTCGGACTGCAGTTCAGAGGCTGCTCCCGGCCTCGGTCTCTGGGTGAGATTTACCAGCTTTTAACAACAGCAGGATAATCATGCTAATGAAAAACTCCCTCCGGGCTTAGGGTAGCCAGACTGAGATGAAGAAACCGGGAGGCATTTCGGAGTCGCCCGATGAGTCACTCTGAATGTGCGGGGAGCCCGCCTGCATCTGGGAGCGAAGGACTTCCTCTCCCTCTGCACTCTGCAGAGACGGCAGCACATGCTGGGGACTGCACGGTCCACTCCTGGAGCATCCCAGGCCATGCTTTGGGAAATGTGAGCCAAAGCTCCCTAAGCTCAGCCACCAGCAAATCCAGTTACCCTGCTACCACCTGTGGCGAGGCCTGTGTATGTCTCCCATCCTACACACGACCTGGGCTTCTCCCCAACTCTCTCCATCCAGGCTGCCAAGGTTTTTGGAGAGGGCAATGCTCTGATGTGTTCCAAGCTCCCCAAAGATCCCAGCATATGCTGGGTTCCATTCCTCTTTCCTAAGGACTTTGCACCAATGCCTCAGTTTCCCTGAGTAGCTCAAGGTTCCCTACACCCCACCCTGCCCCCGGGTGGTGGGAGCATTAATTACAGTTTGTTCCTGGCTTTGAAGATGAAAATGCCAAGGATCATTACCTCTCAATTAACGGGGTTATTACCTCTTGAGATTGTGTCGGATGACTCCTACCCCACCCCACCCCTGCCCCCAACCTGGGATCCATAGTGGTTCCCTGTTGTACTGTTTCTGGGTCCCCCCACACACACCCTCATACTCCTCCTTCCCTGGTTTCACACTGGTAATTACCCCCCCCCTTCAAAATTAGGACTGGTGGAGTATTTAGCATATTCCACCTTGAACGAGGATTTATGGAGTCTCTGAAGAGGTAGTTGGTGTAGGTAGGAGGATGGATGGAGTTACAGGCCATTGTGAGCTCCCACTTCTAATCATCAGCTCAGTAGGCTGAGGCAGGAGGATTAAAAGTTCAAGTCTAACTTGGGCTACACAGTGAGACCCTGCCTCAAGCCCTGTACTCCCAAAGACTTATTTCCTTGGTGATCACCAGCCCCTACAAAGGCATTAAACTCATGCCTGAGCTGATCACAGAACAGGACACTAATCCCACCAAGAGCTACAGTTCCGAGTTCGAGAGAGTCATTAACTGCTTCTTTGAATCCTGCTTGACTGGATGCATACAGCAGCAAGGGAAAAAAAGAGCCAAAGATGTGCTTTCCAATCCTCTTTGGTATGGAAGAGACTAAAGGGCTAATAACAGTCTGGGGCTGAGGCTGAGACCAGACCTAAAAGCCTGGAACCCTCTCTAAAACCTAGAGTTTTTCTTCTGAGGGTGAAGGGGAAAAAAATCAGCGCCTGCCTTAAGAATAAAGCCTGTTGCGCAAAAGCAGGTGTACTGCAAACCACGGAGGTAAGACTTTACCCATGGTCCCTCCCATTTTCTGTCTCCTCGCTTTTCTCCCCAGCTGCCTTCTCTACCGCCCCTCCCCTCCCCCCACACACACACTCACACCTTTTCTGCTTCATTTCAAATCATGAAGTTCCTCTTTCCAAAAAGCACCATCCCCTGAGAGTCCTTTCTGCAGAGACACCATCCCTCCTAACTGAGAAGGGGTTATCCCACTGTGGGTCCCAGGGGAGACACAGGCCCTTAGAGCACATGACTCCATTTACCTTCTATGAGCCTCTGAACTAAGACAGCAAAGTTCCTATTACAAGCCCTCATCCCCTGACCCACTCCCCCCCACACACACACACCCCATACACACACCCCACCCTTGCCCCAGGAACTCCGCCCCTCCTTCTAGAACCTTTAACTGTGACTAGGAACTTCAATACATTCCTCCCACACTTGCCTAAGATAGTCAGAAACCCAGAGAGCTGAGAAAGGGGACCTGGTTCATGAATTCTCTTTCCCTCTCCCCTTACTAGCCCCCCATCATTAGAAATTCATTCAGAAACCCATGAATTGACAAAACTTGGAGCTGAAATTAGCAGAAAAGGAGGGCTGTCCAACTCTCTTGAAGCCCATGAATAAGACTGGTCATAGCCAAAGTCACAGACGGGTAGTTTATCCAGAAAATCAGAACTCATGCTAGCCAGGCCAGGGCTAGTGTTTGACATTGACCTACAATGGACAATAGCCTGTTACTCCTTCCCTCCCTCCCTGCCCCAGCTCTGTCCTGATGCCCCATGCTCAGCCTCTGGGTTACCCATGACAACTAATTAGTTCTAGGGACTCGCTCACTTAGGCCTTAGGAGCAATCTCTAGGATAAACCACCTTGGGAATCTAGTGGCTACTCCCACCCTCCCAGCAAGCGGTCCTCTGTAGCAAAACATTTTCTCTTTGGTTATCGGACACTCTGAAATTACCTGAAGTGTGATTCCCAAATATCCCGTGATTCTACATGATTAGAAGAAGTTCATTTGAATTAAGACCAATAGATTTTATAAGAAAACGATGTCTGGCTGGGGAAGTGGTTCAGTGGATAAAGTACCTGCCAGGCAAACAAGAGCATCTGAGTTCAGATCCCTAGAGCTACGGGGAAAAAAGCTGGGCATGGCCAAGTGTGTGCCTGTAACTGCAGCTGTAGAGAAGGGATGCAGAGACAGGCAGGTCCCTGGAGCCCACTGGCCGGCCAGCCCAGTCGAAGCAATGAGCTGCAGAGAAACTCCAAAGTGAAAGGATTGGGGGGCTCAGCAGAGGACCTGGGCTTGTTTCCCGGGATCCACATGGCTTAGAGTCACCCGGAGCTCCAATTCCAAGGAATCTGACATTCTCCTCTGATCTCCAAGGATAGTTGCAGGAGCATGGTGCATAGAAACTCACACAGATGCACGCTCGCGCGCGCGCGCGCGCGCACACACACACACACACACACACACACACACACACACGGGGGGGGGGAGATCTTTTAAAAAAAATAAAGGTAGGGAGCAATTGAGGAAAGACACTTCAAGTCAATCACACACACACAGAGAGACAGATGTACACACAGGCACATGTGTACACACCAAATACAAAATTTAAAAATACATAAAGTGAAGTATGTGATTTTCTTTGCAGAGGATCCCATGGCCATTGAAACAGCATTAGAAAGTAGGACTTGAGCTCAGAGTAACACAGTCTCTCATGCCTACTTATTAGAAGTGCAAGTGCTAGGCCCCTTTTCTGGCCTGGGCTCTTTCTTTACCTCCATGTTTGGTCCAAAGGATGCTGGGATACCACAGTCAAGCCTCCTTTCTATTGCTTTCTCCCCCAGGTTTTCCAGTTCAGTGAGTTTCCTTGTCTTCAGAAAAAAAAGATGGAGGAGATGGACAGACGCCTCCGTGGTTAATAAATAGTGCTTACTGCTCTTTCGGAGGGCCTAGTTCTGTTACCAGCACCTATGTGGTGGCTCACAACTGCCTGTAGCGCTATCCATCCTACCCACACCAGCCACCTCATCCATCCTACCCACACCAACCACCTCATCCATCCTACCCACACCAGCCACCTCATCCATCCTACCCACACCAACCACCTCATTCCTTCTCTTTGTTACAGTCACAAAAGAGACAACAGCTAGAGTCAAAAGCATTCTTTTTGGAGTTAGGTGGGGTGAGTTCAAATAGATCAGCCATGTTGAGACCAATTAACTTCCAGGAAGCTAATAAGATTCTCCCAGCCATATAGATCTTGACAGTAAGAAGTGAGGAAGACAATCCAAAGATCTTCCTCACTTGGCTGCTGTAAAGAGAATGAGAGCTGGAGAAACGGGTTCGTGGATAAGAGCACTTATTAACTCTCACAGAGGACCGGTTTTCTTCCCAGCACTCACATGGGGGCTAACAAGTATCTGTAATTCTAGTTCCAGGGAATCTGATGCCCTTTTCTGACCTCCATGGACACCAAGCGCGCACGCACGCGCGCGCACACACACACACACACACACACACACACACACACACACACAGGCAAAACACTTATACACATAAAAAATACAAATCTAAAAAAAAAAAAGGAAGGAAAACAGAGTATATATACAAGGCCTGGCCAGCCAAAGGAGGCATCATATATCAGTGTCCCAACCTTCTAGAACTATAATCAACCAGAAGCACCAGCATCAAGGTCCCCATGAAGCTCACTAACCCCATAGGAAACCAAAACTTTCCTTCTTCAAGCTTCCAGGAAAATTTTACCTAGCCTCTCCTCTAAACTGGATGCCATTACCAAAGACATGGCAATGACTTCTAGAGATTTCACTAATGAGCAGTAGGTGACCAAGCAGTGACCCTCCTGGGTGGCACCCAAAAGTGGAAACCACCTGAAGACCCTCAAGATAACTGGCACTCAAGAACGATGCCTCCAGGGCAGGTCCTCCACACACACATCCTTGGGGTGACTTGAGCAATAGCAAACTCCCATTTCTCATTATTGGGCTCGAAGTCCTACAACCGGATTTCCATTCTAGCAGCATTAGTGAGTACCTCCATGATCCAGGTGACATTCTGAGTACTGTGCTTAGTATCTTCAGGTTCTATTAGCAACTCTTGTTAAGCATTTTTTTTTTCTCCAAATTGCTAGGTAGAACCACTTGTAAAGGCACACATCAATTATCCCAGTACTTGGGAGGTAAGGCCACTCAGCTGACTTCAAAGGGTAAATCAAGACCCCTATCTGAGAGGAGAAAGAGGAGAGAGAGGAGAGAGAGAGAGAGAGAGAGAGAGAGAGAGAGAGAGAGAGAGAGAGAGAGAGAGAGAGAAGAGACAGACAGAGAGGGGGGGAATGGCTCAGACAGAAAATTGTGTGCCGCCCAAGCATGAAGACCTGAGTTCAGATCTCCAGCACCCATATAAAAAGTGCACACAGCTGTAATGCGGACACTGAGAGACAGAAGGATCCTTGGGGCTCACTGTTCAGCTAATCTTGCCCAATCAGTAAAATCCAGCTTTAATGAGACTCTGTCTCAAAAAGAATAAGGTAGAGAGCAATTGAGGGACACATGCACACATGAGCATGCACATGAACACAGACACATACATACAATATACACACCAAAAAAGAAGTCGCTGGAAGGCTTGAAACCCAGAGCTTTGATCAGGTGACATAAGTGCTCTCACCACTGAGCACACCCCCAGTCTGTAGCACCAGTCCTACGCATTTTTATTTAAAAGGCAAATTCCCTTGTGACTGGAACAATGGCTAAGCAGTTAAGGGAATTGGTTGCTCTTCCAGAGGACCAGAGTTTGATTCCCAGTTCCCACAGGGAGACTCACAACTGTCTGCTAACTCCAGTCCTAGGGGACCTGATGGACTTTTTTATGGCCTCTGTATACACACACACACACACACACACACACACACACACACACACACAGGCAAAACACCCATACACATAAAAACAAATAAATGTAAATGCAAATGCCTTCTAAGACCGGTAAAGCATTAAGATGGCTAACATCCCAGGTTGAATTAATTTTAATGAGGGCAAGGAGGAACTCTTGGAAGATAGAAGACTGGTTAATAAAAAGGAGAGGTAAAGTGCAGAGATGCCTGGAACAAAGGACCAAGACAGAATTGTGTCTGTTTCCGCAGTGGAATTCCGGGACCACATCTTCTTTATCCTCACCAAAATGAAGACACCCATTCCCCCTCCGTGGGAGACAGCAGCCTTGGCTCTGTTACACAGAGATGGCCTGTCTGCCTTTCACCAGCTCCAGGGGAGGACGCCCTGAACCAGTGCCTACTCGCTCCCCAACAACTTTAGGGCTTAGGGTTCAGGTAATTAGGTTCTTGGCAATCTCTCTGGAGCCCGCCAATAAACCTGAAAACACCCGCAGCCCCTCTCCAGGAGGGAGAAAGGAAATATACGGGGAGGGAGGGCAGTGAGGAAGGGGAAAAAAACTTTTCTGTGCTGAATTCCACCCCTGACAACCAGGGGACTATAGCAATCTACAAAACCACCACTGTAAACACCCCGCACTGCTCCAAATTCCTGGTTGTGCCTACTGGCACAGAACCACAGCTTCCACCTACCATCATCATCCAGGGTGACGGAGGACATCTGTTAGCACTACAACCTGAATAGAAAGTAGTCATTAAGGGCCTATGCTTGCAGGCTCCTTTCAGGGCAAAGAAAAGGCCCCCAAACCTTCTACCTTCTCCTAGGAGCCCTACTTTTTTGTTGGTGTTTTTAAAGCATTCCAGGGTGTTACAGAATGGTCCAGGCCTAGTAACCACCAGCAGCTGCGGAAGGCTGCATCCAGGCCTTAGCTCCTGCAGAGAGAGGACTGTTCCTTAAGCATCCCTAGACTGGCACAGCTATCAGGCACCCAAACAGTAATTTCCTTTTCCCTGCTGTAAATGAATAGTATTTCTGGTCCATGACAAGCTGGAAGGGATGCCTTCCTCCATTAGGCACTTTTTACTAACTGCGCCGTCTGAGTGCATCTCTGGGACACACAAGGAGTGTGTGTCCATCATGCAGCAGGATGGGGGAGAATAGAGTGTAATAGCAATTGCTGTTTACTGAGTGCTTGCTAGAGGTCTGGTATAAGTACTCCATGAAAATTCTCTGATTTAATTCTTCCTATGAGGTCTGTACTGTTACCTCAATCAACAGATAAGGTCAGTAGTATGCCTTGTCACAAAGAAAGTCTGGTAAATACTTTAAGTGAACTGAAAGCTTCCATTCCATTCGAAGAACTAGCAGTAAGGAGGCTGACAGCCTTTCCAGTGTTGCCTAGTAGGCAACTAGGTCCTGGTGCAAGCCAGCGGCCGGCTACATGCTTTCCCTCTTAGAAGCAACAAACTAGCTTTGAATGTGTTCCGGGTCATCCTTGGAGGAGCATTAGCTGGCGCTGGAACCAGAAAGCCTTTGAGAATCCCAAACGCTTCCACCACAGGCCTCTATGGAAAAGGGACAGGGCTCCCAGCTCTTCCTATGGAGAGAGCCCAACAGGTGGAAAGTGGGTGAGATCTGGAGTCCTTGCTAGTTCAGCAGGGCCACAGAAGGCCTTCCACTTCCTTCCCAGCACCCCCTTGGGCTGATCTCTGCCTCCCGCGGGGAGACATGGGCACTGCAGTCAATCTTAGACCTGCCGCTTGTTCCAGGGCTGAGAATCTTTCCGTAGGTCCAGGCAGAGGGCAGGAACCCACCAAGACACCCCGCCCCTCCCACAGCAACCCGCCAGCCTCCCCTCTCACGCGCAGCAGGAAGCGCTAGAGAGGCGCAGCCAAAGCTTTGCGGGTACCCTGGGCGTCCTGTCCCGCCCCAGTTGCCTGGCTCTCCAGCCAGAGGCCAGAGCTCCAAGCTAATTTTTTCACGCCCCCCCCCACCGCCTCCCTAGGTGACGCTACAGTCTGTGCGGTTCCTTTAAAGGCTGCGGGTTCCGTTCTTCTTCCCTTTTCCACTGGATGCCAAAATATGCAAATCCGGGGACCGGAATCTGCAGCCAAATAGAGCAGGAGAAGGGGCGCGGCCGGCGCGTCACCGGATCCGCTCCTTGTATGGCTCTTCCCGGCTTGGCCCGCTGCCCCACGACCCTCCCTGCAGCCGCGGAGGCCCCTCCCGCACCCAGCCAGGCTCACACCGCCGCCCACGCCCCTGACCGGCCGCTCCCCCCTCCAGGGATGGAGCCGGGGGCGGGAAGCGCTGCATGCCCTGATTCCGGCCGAAGCCCGGGACCGCTGCAGCGCGCAGTCTCCCCGCGCCGCGCGGGCGGAGGAGAACCCGGGGGCGCAGTGCCTCTGGAGCACAGGAATGGGTAGCCTGGAGGGAGAGGCGGCGGGGGTGGCAGAGTGGGGGCTCACGGGCGGCGGGAATCCCTCCTTTCCTAAGAGGTAGAGAAGATCCGGGGGAGTCTGGGCCCTTCCCACCCTCTGTTCTCTACCAAACTGAGGGGAGGAGAGAGGGAGTGAGGTTGTCATCCACCCCCAGCACAATGCGCAGCTCGGGAGTTCCTCCCACACGTCCCCGGCCCCGCATGGACCTCCCACGGTGTGAGGCCCGGGGATCCTCTCTTCCTCCTTGTCAACACTCCCCCTCCCCCTGAGAGATGCAAGTTCCCTCAACCCCGACTCTCCAGCGGGGGACGCGGGATTCACCGCGCCCACGCGGCCACTGAGGAGGGAATCCTCCCCCGCCAAGCCGGTGTGATTTGGGGTCGCGCCTCCATGCTCCCTCCCTCTCCTCCCCCTAGCTCTCAGCCAGGCTGCGCGCTTCAGGAGCAGGCCTCGGGGAACACATCACCCACCCCCGGGATCCGCTGTCGCTCGGGGAGATGACAGCACCCCGGGTCGGCACAGGGGCCGCCCTTGACTGCAGGCACCCTCAGGCAGCCAAGAGGACAGCCCTTTGGGAGACGAGAAGGGGAGAGACTATGGGAGACCGCCGTGGCGGCTTAGAAACCGTGGGTTTCCCATCCTCCTGCTGTAATTCAGCCGCAAGCCCTTCGCCGGCTGCAGTAAACAGCGACTGTGCCCGGGCCTGCTGGGCCCTCCTGCCATCCTGTGGCCAAAGGGGTTTGCTTTAGAACCGTTAGGGAATTTATCTGGGAATTATTTGGTGCACGTGTATTTTATCCCCTAAACTTCACTCTTTCCTCTTCTCCACCAAAATCTCATGACCTCGCCCCCGAAAGTGTGGGGCTTCTGCCCCCTGCGCAACCAGCCAGTAGGCTACACATCCCTGGGCCACTTTTGCGCACAGCTGGGAGTCAGCGCGGGGTCAGGAGCCAAGGGAGGGGCCAGGGCTGTGGGCGGTGAATCAGAATGATGTAGGCAGGAAAGTTCTAGGTACTAGAGCCCTGAGACATTGGAACCCCCTTCCCCAAAAGGAAATACTCCCTCTCTCCACCTGAGTCCAGTCCAGGGTAGGATGCTGAAGGAAGGGTAGGGTTGGGGTGGAGGAACCTGGCCTCAAACAGTCACCTCCCCCTTCCCCAACAATTCCCAGGCTGCTGAGGGGACCTGTCGCCTAGTGTACTGAACTCTTTCTTCCTGCTGGGAGTGCTGGAGGCCAGTTGCAAACCACTCCACCCCTCCACCTCCTAAATGTTGTCTCTAATGCAGACCTCAAATAAAAACCTACATGTTTGATTACTGGGTTTTCGACTGTGCACTGTGCACCGCGCGCTTTGCCTTGGGCTTCGTCCCTCCTTCCTTTCTCCTCTCGCTTTCCTTTTTAATCTTCTAATTGTTTTTTTTTTTTTTTTTTTTTTTTTTTTTTTTTTTTTTTTTTTTTTTTTTTTTTTTCTTTTTTTTTTTTTAAAGAACGGCGAGCGGTGCGGGCGCTGCACGTTGGCTGCGGCCCGCTTCCTGCTTTCTAATGTTCCATTGTGAGGAGCTTCCATTGTGACGTCGCGCCCCTTCGGCTGGGCTTTGTCTGTCCATATATGGGCAGCTACGTCACGGAGCTTTCCCGGGGCTCAGATAAATAGACTGGTGGAGTTCCCTGGCTGGGAGCTTTTGGGCAGCAGTGAGCTAGCTAGGAAGCGGCGGGGCTGGTGGTGGTGGTAGCAGCGGCAACAGCAGCGGCAGAGGAGGTGGCGGCGGCGGCAGCAGCGGCGGCGGCGGCGGCTGTGGCAGATCGGGGGGCGGGGGGGTCGGCGGGCGCGCGTCTGTTTGTGAGATCAATACTGAAGCCGCGTCTGACCCCCTGGAGCCTAGATCCCCCCCCCCAGCCCAGCCCCCAGCCCACTCCCCGCACACGCCCCACCCCACCCCCACGACCCAGCGTCGCACCGCACCAGCCGAAGCACCCGAGAGGATTACCCTCTTTGCCCCTCTCCCACTCCCCCAAAAAAGAATAGATCCCCTCCCCTGGCCCACCCCTTCCCCTCTTCCCTACCCCCTCCCCCCGAACTTTCCCTCTCGCATGCTTTTCCCCTGCACCACGGATCGCCTCTCGGATGCCGCTAGCCTGGAAGCTGCGTTAGGAACAGGCGGCGGCGGTGGCGGCGGCGGCGGTGGCGGCGGTAGCTCGGGACTGCTATGACCGGCAAACTCGCCGAGAAGCTGCCGGTGACCATGAGCAGTTTGCTAAACCAATTGCCTGACAATCTGTACCCCGAGGAGATCCCCAGCGCGCTCAACCTCTTCTCCGGCAGCAGCGACTCGGTAGCCCATTACAATCAGATGGCTACAGGTAAGGGTGGCGGTGAGGCGGCGAGGCAGCAAGGAAGGAAAGGGGGAGGAAGAGGAGGAGGGAGCAGCGAGCTAGCGATGGATGCATAGATCGATGGATGCAGAAATGGATGGATGGAGAGACGGATGGAAAGATGGGGGGCGCGCTGGGAATTTTCCGGGGGGCGAGTTGCTTTTCCCACCCACTCCTCCCGCCCTCCGAGATCGGGAAGGCTTGGTTGGCGACGCCACGGTAGAGGCTTTGGTTCTCCCGGGTGGGGGCAGCCGCCGACCGGAGGGAGGTAGGTGCGAGCAGCTCTGGGGTTCTCCCTCTCCATGCAGGGGGGCCGATCGCTGGGCTGTGCACAAGGCGTGGTGCTGTAGCCCCCTTTCTCGGGAGGAGCCCAGCGTCTTTTTCACCCGCGCTCTCCCCCCTTACTCCCTCAGCCTCCCACCCGGGATGGAGCCATGTGCGGCGTGGAGTCCCCGCGGTGGGAGAGGTACTGCGACGCTGCCTTTCCGGGCGTTCAGCAAAGCCATTGGGGGTGTGGGGACGGCGGGGAGAGGGAGGGGGCTCACCCACGGGGCGGGGGAAAGGGTTTGCCACCGGGGGCGATCCTGGGACCCGGGAGCTTGGGAAAGGCAGCTGGTCCCGCCGTGGAGACACCGGCCGGTTTTCTGCCGCTCTCCACTCCTAGCGGGGTCTAGGCTTTTCCCCTCCAGCACGAGCCGAAAGCTCCTTCAGGCCGGGAGGAGACTGGGGCCGGGAGAGGCTCCCTTTACGGGCGGCACCCTTCTGCGCTCCGAGGACAAAAGCATCGAAGCGCTCTGGGTCGGCCACCCGGGCTCAGCGCCCGTAGGGGGACATCGCTTGGGGCATGAAGGCGCGGCGTCTTGGAGTAGACAGGGCCGGGGGAAGAGGCCGAGTTGTGTGTGCTGGAGAGCGAGAGCCGGGCGCGCTTCGGGTCTGAAACTACCTGTAGCTGCAGCTACCTGTCCGCCCCACCTCGGGAAGAACAACAATGCTCTCGCGCGCGCGTGCGTGTATGTGTGTGGTACGTGAGTGTGTGCGCGGCGTGTGCGGTGTGTGTGCCGGAGCCACTCCACACCCCGATCCGTAGTATTTTGCTGTATCCAGGTTGCGCCGGGGAGCGCGGCACCGCCCGCTTTGCGCCGGGCTCAGCGTTCCTCTTACCCCACGCGCTGCGCACTCCAGCCGGCCGCACCCTCTACTCCTAGGCAAGGACCGGGGCGCCGCCGTAGCCCGGAGCCGGCTCGGCTTCACTCACCCCTCCCCTCTCTCCCCCGCTCTCCGCAGAGAATGTGATGGACATCGGTCTGACCAACGAGAAGCCCAATCCGGAACTCTCTTATTCGGGCTCTTTCCAGCCAGCCCCCGGCAACAAGACCGTGACCTACTTGGGAAAGTTCGCTTTCGACTCTCCTTCCAACTGGTGCCAGGACAACATCATTAGCCTCATGAGCGCCGGCATCTTGGGGGTGCCCCCGGCCTCAGGGGCGCTCAGTACGCAGACGTCCACGGCTAGCATGGTGCAACCTCCGCAGGGCGACGTGGAGGCCATGTATCCGGCGCTGCCCCCCTATTCCAACTGCGGTGATCTCTACTCGGAGCCCGTGTCTTTCCACGACCCCCAGGGTAACCCTGGGCTCGCCTATTCTCCCCAGGATTACCAATCGGCCAAGCCGGCCTTGGACAGCAATCTTTTCCCCATGATTCCTGACTACAACCTGTACCACCACCCCAACGACATGGGCTCCATTCCGGAACACAAGCCCTTCCAGGGCATGGACCCCATCCGGGTCAACCCACCCCCTATTACCCCTCTGGAGACCATCAAGGCCTTCAAAGACAAGCAGATCCATCCGGGTTTCGGCAGCCTGCCCCAGCCGCCACTCACTCTCAAGCCCATCCGGCCCCGCAAGTACCCCAATCGGCCTAGCAAGACCCCGCTCCACGAGCGGCCCCACGCGTGCCCCGCAGAGGGCTGTGACCGCCGCTTCAGCCGCTCGGACGAGCTGACCCGGCACCTGCGCATCCACACGGGCCACAAGCCCTTTCAGTGTCGGATCTGCATGCGGAGCTTCAGCCGCAGCGACCACCTCACCACTCACATCCGCACGCACACCGGGGAGAAGCCCTTCGCGTGCGAGTTCTGTGGGCGCAAGTTTGCGCGCAGCGACGAGCGCAAGCGCCACGCCAAGATCCACCTCAAGCAAAAGGAGAAGAAGTCGGAGAAAGGGGGTGCGCCCTCTGCATCCTCGGCGCCCACCGTGTCCTTGGCCCCTGTGGTCACCACTTGCGCCTGAGGCTCGGGCACCCAGATCCCCTCTTTTCCCTTCCAGTGCCTCCTGGCTGGTCGCCTGAAAGCAGCGGGGAAAGCCAACCACTGAGGCGCAGGGGCCGCGCCCTGGTCTCGCCCTGGACGTGCGGCCCCCTTGCCTCCCCTCCGATGCCCCCCATTCCCACCCTTTCACACCGGCCGATGGTTGGGGGATAGGGCTGGAGGCACTTTCGCCTTGCTGCCCCCCCTTGCCAAGGCGTGGGGGTGGAAAGGTGGCGTCTAGCCCGCTTTGTTCAGTTAGGATCGCCTTGATCCAGGGGCCGCTGGGCCGCGCCAAGGACCTGCGGGGGACTGAAGGCGGGGCCCATCCAACCCTCGCCAGACCCAAGCACCTCACTGTTTCCCCCTCCAGTGTTTCCTTGTGTTCCCCCTCGAACACCCGAGAGGGGGAGGGGGTAAGGAGCGCACCAAAGCGCAGAGCTTGCTGCCCGCCGCACGCACGCGCGCTTGCGTGCGGTGATGCGCGCGAGTGTGTGCGTGCTCGCCTGTATGTGTGAGTGTGCGTGTGTTGTATGTGTGTGTGTGCGCGCGCACGCGTGTGTGAGACACTTGAGCTGAACTGGGCTGTGTCTACCCCCAAACTCTTCTTCACATAGGGTCTCCAAGCCGTTGGGAGATGTCCCAGGCTGGGGACCTGCATGTGGCCGGAGGAGATGGTCTTCCATCTGCTCCGTAATAATGTTTCTTACAGAAATGCCTCGGACGCAGCTGCTGCGGTACTGCTGCCGCCGCCTCGGGTTTGGCCCCCTCACAGCCCCTTCCCTTTCCGAGCGCTTCCCTCTTAGGCCTCAGGGCAGTTTGATCTTTGGGGAGAAAGAGCCACCATCTCCTGAGCCTGCCTTTAAAAAAAATATAATTTGCTCAGCCCCCCACTTTTCAAAATCTGTGTTCTTGAGCTTGCCCTCTGCCTTTCCCTCCTATCATCTCCTCTTCCCTCTCAGGTTCTCACTAGGTCTCTCAAGATCTTTACCCAGAAAGGCAGGCCTCAATCAACCACCCAGCTGTTTGTCTCTGTCATATACCCATTTCTCATTCCCCCCATTCCTGGGAAAGCTGGCTCTGTTCATTTGCCCTCTGTGATCGCCAACACAACAGATAGAAGTGAAATGTATGTATATGATGTTGGTGTGTGTATGTAGATGTGTGTGTTTCTTTATACACATATGTTTACATAACACATGCTCTGTATTCCTGGCAAAATCAAATCTAAGGCATTTGGTTATCCAGCGCAGTGCACTGGAATAAAGAGAATTTGTAGGCATATACAGCTTTAAATGATTTATTTTTATGAAAATGTTAACTGAGGAGATTATATCTACCTGTGTATGTGTGTGACTCTATGTGCACACGTGTATATATGCATACACATTCTGTTCAAATTGTCCTCAAAAAATAGATGGGGATTTTTGCATTAATCCGTGTTGCTGAATGAGGCACATCTGTTTCATGCCCCATCACACCTTTTCCCTGCCCTACCTCACCTCTTCTCAGGAGCACCTCTACCCCAGCTGTCCTGCCCAGCCCTTCCTCACACAGGGTGGCCCTTTTGAAGTGGAGACCTAGAGAAGGGTGCTCTCTCTGACACAGCTTCCTCCACAGTCTTGACTGAATGTATACTGTTTCCTATTCGCGTCGTTTCTCCTGTGGCCAATGAGCTGCCCAGAGAGAAGCGACAAAGGTCTGGAGTTTACAGAATGTCTGTTTTTAAAGTCACTTTATGCGTTTCCCACTTTTTTTTTTTAATTAAAAAAAAAAGCACCGTCTTTTGGTGGTGGATAAATAATACTAAAAGGACTCTAGTGAACAGAGAGGGAAAACTCAAAGAGTAGGGGAATTGTGAATTTCCAGGTACTCGGGCTTTTTGTAGAAGGAGAAGTTTGCCAGGAGGGCCCATATTTTTTCAGCTGAAGGGTAAAATCTTTCTTTGCAGAGACAGTATTTTGCTGAATACTTTTTATAATGTGATGATTATTTAAAAAAAACACAAAAATTTTGGTCAGTTCAAAGCTGGAAGGAGGAATCAAATATCCTTTAATATTTTTTTCTTCCTCCTTCTGAAATATGCATGTCACTGCATGATAACTCTGACTTTTCCTTTGTTTTAATAAAACTGTTCTCAGACATTTAAGCTAAACTAAGAGAAAAATAACTTTGTTGCCAAAAGGTTGTGCTATCCGGATTTTTTTTATATGTCTGCATGTTTAAAGAAAAAAAAACCAACAAAAGAAAATGCACTCTAACTTATGTGAACTGAGAGAAAAAAAATATCAGGTTTTAAACAGGAAAACCTATGGGGAATGATATTTTTTGAAAGACTTTTGTATACAGTTGAGTACTTAGAAAAAGACAAACCAGATGTAATATATTTTGTGGATGTTTTTATTTCTTGGATTTATAGTACCTTATACTAAGGTTAAAAAAATGCTTGATATTGTGAAAAGGTGAGATTCTTCACCAACATTTCATTTACTCCTTGTCACATTGTTATGCCAATATAATATAGTTAATGAAAACAGCATTTTTAAAAACAGATATTGAAACGGTGTAATGTTGTACCATTTGCCCTGTGAGCAAATGCCAATACAGTAAATATATTGTGTTTGCTGACAATCAGCCTGCCTTTACATCTCGTTTTATTTCTTGTTTTCATGGTATAAAGTTTTGGTTTGGCCTGGGGTTTTTGTTGGTAGTGTTGTTTGTTTTTGGTTTTGGTCTTCTTTTGTTTGGGGTGTGGTGGTCTGTTCAATAGGTTGTGGTGCCTGGATTTATGCTCCTTGCTCTGAGATCCCTCAGAGTAGAACTGATGTCCCTGGGCCTGGGTCAGAATTCTGTGTGGGTTCTGGTGTTTCTGATCCAATGTTGAGTGCTGGTTCTGAGAAGATTCCAGTCTGCCCTTCTGGGATTCTCAGACAGAGCGATTAGCTGAACAGGTTGGATAAACTCAACTCATGGGAGTCAGGGCAGTGACTTGAATCTTCTAAAACCTTTATGGTTTCCATAGGTAAGTCTCCTGGTTGGCAAACTGTTTCTCTGTTGGTCTTAGGACAAGACCCTCAAGGGCCTCTGGAACAGCACTGAGAAATTCTCTTGCTTAAGCTTTTGAAGCCTGAAGAGACAGGTGGAGACTTGACAGGGATTCTTCAGGGTTGGCAAGATAACCAGAGAGATTGGCAGCTCTTCTGTGGTCAGATCATGGGGAGAGGGGAGTCTAGTTTTAAAGTTCTAAGGCTTTAATCCCACTCGGACAGGCTTTTCAAAGTCCTCCCTGCTTGTCAATGTCTAAGGAAGACGCTCTCCTTAGACAGTGGTTCTTGTGAGTGACTCAAAGATTTGATACTTTTAAGGGAAGAAAGGACTTCTGGGATTTGGAGAACACAAGGACAGGGAAAGTTTGTGTCGTGTCCATGCACTGCATCTCACGATTTCTATCTCCTGTGAAAACAGTGCCTCCCATACCCTTCAAGTTATCTCCCTCACCCTTAACTGACTTGTCCGGCGAGCCTAGCGTTTCTGCCCTTGCTTTGAAGGCAATATTTGCCCTTTGTTTCTTGTCTGTACCGACCTTTTTGCTTTATGCTCTACTCCTCAGAATCCTTTCTTGTTTTAGAGCAGTCTTTAGACAACTCAGTCCTGCCTCCCTCCCTGTAGAAAACTCACCTCAGCCCCTCTGCGGTGCGTCTGACATATGATCCTGTGGTATTGTGTTCCCCCAAATATTGTGCATGCTAGTAAACTTATCTGGGGTCAGATACAAATAAAATATCACTATACGATCCGCTTCACCAAAAGTTGGTGCCCGGTGCCTGACACCAGGTTATGGAAACACAGCACCAGATTGTGGTGGGGAGTCAGTGTCTGCGTTCTACACATACTCACTGAGCCAGCCCACAGCCACAGAAACTGCTCTTGGTACTAAGAGCAGGCCCATCTCGGCAAGAAACAGAGATGTGACTTTAGGCTGGCCCATGGCTACCGGTAAGCTAAGGCCAGAGCTGGGTGGAGAGGGTGGTGGGCTGTGGCCCTAGAAAAGAATGTTTTTGAAGTGAGAGATGAATAAAGGGAATGCACTATGCAATCTTAAATTCTTGCACCCACACAATTCTCGTTCACTGTCTGCCATCTTGGATTCCTTTCTCTCACCTTATGAAACTTAAGAATTCCAAACTCGGGCATTATACACAGGCACATAGAGCTAACCTCCCTTTCGACCGAAGGAGTCCAAGATGGCTGAAAAGTCCCAGTGGTTGAACCTATAGCCGGGCCCTTTGCTGAACTAGATGTTTCCTTCCAGATGTCTGTGTGGTTTTTCAGGTGAGTTTTATCAGAGTTGAAGATATTATCGCTGGATGTCTTCATAGTTAGCATCCTGCCCCACCTGTCCCTTCTCCAACCAAACCAGGACTTCAGAGTTGTGCTTTCAACAGTATACCACGCTGCATGATTAATAAACTCACTTCCCATTGGTGGATATTACTCAACCCAACCTGGTTCAACCACTGGGTTACTTGGCAATATGGCAGACTGCCTGACTGGCACCAACCCAGTGTGGTGTAATCGCTGATTCAAACTTTGTAGCTAGCTAGATAAGGCTGCCCTAGATAGCATCACACTTGCCAGCCAACCTGACCGGGTTTTGTAAGTGGAGAAGAGATTTGAGCCTGAAACTTAAGGACAAAATGGACGTAATGAGGCATAAAGCTATAAACAAATAGTGTCGTAGCTTGAAGTGTCCGGAGGAGGAGGAGAAGATATTGCACATATGTGTGTACACATGTACCACCTGGTGTGGCACATTGAAACTGATGCCTGCAAAAACTGTACTTGGTGAACCGGGACTGGGCCGAAATGAGATACTTTTTTAAGAATTTGAGAAGTGTGTTTTTGTACAGTAGTGGTGAACATTGTGTGTGTGTGTGTGTGTGTGTGTGTGTGTGTGTGTGTGTGTGTGTGTTCATATTCACATGTGTGTAAAAAGGAACCAGGGTGGATTTTGGTGAATGCAGGCAGCATTAGCTTCTGGATAGTTGTTAGTATTTTTTTTAAGTGTTCCCTTTTTGACAGTCTGGGATTTGTCTGCATAGATGAGGGGACTGTGAGTTGCCTCTGCTAACCCCGATGAGCTCCCTGGTGTTCTTGGTAAATCTAAGGAAAGGAAGAGACCTCTGTGTGTCCCAAAGACTAGAAATCATGCCCCTAGTGACTAGGAGGGAAATGTGACCTTCTAAAAGGTGCCATGGAGTTTTAAAATTAAGATCTCATTCTAGATATGCTCCCAAAAGGGGAATCTCAAGAAGCTCAGTCTTAATAGATGAGAGAGAGCTCAGAAAGAAAAGGAATAGTTCAGAGACCCTCGGCCAGACCCTAGAACAGCATCCATCAGACACAGAGACTAGAGGACATCTAGGCCCACTAGCTTCTCTAAGTGTTCCAACTCTTAAAACTTTACCTTTCCTCTGTTTAAAGGTTCCCCTCATTGTACTGTTTTCAGGTTTGATCATCTTTACAGTTCAATGCCAGAACAGGGGTGGGACAGGGTAGAGGCTGTGTGATAAGGCTTCTTCCCATTTGCATAAGGTCTTTGATGTGTCCCTGACTGTTCCTGCCCTAGACATGGCCAGGGCTTCTCTCTGGTCAGGACCTGAAGCAGTCCCTGCCACCAGGAGGCCCTGACTCTAGGGTAGACACACCATTTCTTTCCAACTAGCAAACAGATATGACTGAAAGTTTTGCCGACAATCTCAATCCGGCGCTGATACAAATAAAACATGGCCATGGAGCTGCAAACAAGGAGAGCGTCAACAAAGAGTTTAACTGCCAGGCTGGGTGGGAATCAGACCCACCAAGTGGCTTCTTTAATGCTGCCTAACCTGCTTCCTGGCTGCCACCCCTTCAGGAGTTTCTCAGAATATTCTCTGGGGGTCAGGACACATGGTCTAGTCCCAAATGTCCTTAAATGGAAAAGGCCCTTTCTGTAGGTCTCAAAAAACGCCTTCCCCGTCCTTAGGCCTCGCCTTCTATCCCTGTAGTCTCTTTCTTCGCTCTGTGACTCGAACCCCTGGTATCCTGCCATTCTCATCCAGTGTTGTTCGCAGGGCCTTGGCAGTTTCACGTGAAGTATGGTCACCAGTCCCTCAGGCTGGCTTTCCTCACCCTGCTTGCCCAGGCCTGGCAGCCATCCGTGGCTTGAACTTCTCTTTGTTGCCGTCATGGCCCATGCAGAGGTATACTGCTCAACCACAAATGGGACTGTCCTTGGCATCATCTACTGAGTTCTTCACTGGAGTCTCAGTAAGTCCGCCACCTCTCACCCCTCTAAAGGAAAAGAGAGGCCAGTTGCTTTTGAGGTTGGGCTTGCCTCATCCTTCTCAGAGAGCATTGCCTTTATCCCTGGGCCTGTATCCTTGGAGTAGCACACTCTACTGGTTACTGCCCATCGGCCCAGATCCATCAGTCCCTTGTCCCTACCAAAGTGTCAGACTAGTGACCAGAACAGTACTGGGACTTTAAACCCTTTGGCATTTTCTCAATAGCAGGCCAAAAGAGCTCTGGGTCCCTCAATAATTAGCATTGTGCTGCAGGCGCTATAGATTCTCACGGTCCTTTACTGCTCCCTGATTGCTCTCCCTACTGCTTAAGAAAATCAGTCAAGCTGTAGAGGTTCTCACAGTCTTCTGTGGCTGCCTGCTTGCTCTCCCAACTCCTTCGGAAAACCAGTTCATCCCAACAAGAGAATCAAAACCGCAGTTGGCCCATGGGATTTCTCGGGGTCCTGGAGAAAATTTCCTCTGGGCATTCTTATTCAGATCTCAGTTCTAAAAATTAGGAGGAGGCCACTTGACAGCCCAGCAGCCCTTCTGTGTTCCCTTCTGACTCTTAGCCTGCTTTGGACTTGTGACCTCCATCCACGCTCCAAACCTCAACCTGGCCACTTCATTACAGTGTGACTATCAACGGACATTGTTATTGTTTATAGTGCTGGGACTCAAGTCCAGGTTTCACATTCTGCACAAGCATTCTACCACTGAGCCATGTACCCAGACCAGTTGCTTGTCTTACTGAAGCTTGGTGTCTGCCTGTCTTTCCATAGCTGTTGCAGAGTTCAAACAAGGTCGTCTACACAGTGCTGGCTTGTTGAAGACACTCTACCAGTGCGAGTCTTGTCTCTTAGTCCTGTCCCATGCCCCTACCTTCTAAACATCACTGTGAGTAAAATGGCTGGCTGTCCAACCGAGACTGGTGCATCATTTGAAACACATGCAGAAGACAGTGTAGCCTCGCCAGTTCAGCCATCCACTGAGGATGTGGGTTCCCAATATAGGTACTCCCCACTCCCTGCAAGTCCTTCATCCACCCAGAGAGAGCACAGGTTCTTTCCCCTCGTGGCCATAGCTGAAGTTCACAGTTGTCACTTCCTGGCCTGGTTCCTGACCCTTCCTGGATTCTTCTGACCTCTCTCTCTTACCAAGATGGGTGGATGTAATGCCTTCCTGATCCAGTATCATCTGCAAAGTCAATTAATGTATCATTGGGCTGTTGCCTGCTTCCTGATTCTTATCAAGGATTTAAATAAAACGCAGTTGGCCCAGTTCTGCATTCTGTCCATCCCTCACCCTTGATACCAGCATGGTTCTTAGTCATCGCCCCTGAACTCAGCTCTCAGCTTCCAGTTGCTGGCC